ACTGCCCGACCCCGTCTCGGCCTTGATATCCATCGCTGGGTTGTTGCCTATCTTCTCACGCCATGTGCCGTAGAATCTCCCGCATGCCGATATGTGATCCTTCTTCCATGGAGGTGCTTCCAATCGTACTCTGACTGCTGCTGGGGTGGCTGTCATATTCGCAAACATGCTGGCACGTGTGGGTGGGCAACGTGCCGTCTGCTGTGGCGTGCGGGTGTTGTCAGGCGTGAAGGCATCCTCGAGAAGTTGCTTGATCTCCCAGAAAACTGAATCCTCTGTGCCCGCCGTAAACTTCATCTTCACCGAGCTCATCATCATGCGACTGCCGTTCAAGCGTAGGGTTCCCATCGCATCGAAACGACTATCGATCTCGTTGGGAAGTATTGACCTGATATTAGTGATGAGCTGAGCAGCATCCGAATCCCTCATCATCGATTGTGAACGCTGAAGTGTTGACCCATTCCATTGTGTCCATCCAGTGAGCTCGACAAAGCTACGATGCCAAGAGAGCCTCTGTCCTCCCCCTCCTCCCAGAGGATTGGCACCAGGACCAGTACCGAAACCTCCAGAGGTGGATGCGCTGGCAGTGCTTGGTGGATTCGAACGGAGATCCTTCATCTGACGCTCTAGATCACTCATGCGTTTGTCCTGCACCTCCTGATGGGTAGAAATGCGTGCAATATCAGCTTTCATCATTCCCTGCTCAGCTGCTGCTACCGCCTGACCTGCCATGATTTCTTTGTGAAAGTTTTGCATCCATCCAGGCGCCTCGCTCGCTGTGGACAAGCTGGCCGCCCTGGCTGCCTCAAGAGACTGTCGTGCTTGTGCAAGCGCATCCTGATATGCTCGTCCCTCCCCATCACGTCCCTCTGCCCCGCAATGACGAACCTGCCTCTGAAAATCCTCTCCTGCTCCCATGACTGCATCTCCTCCTCCAGGCATGTTGGCAGCAATATTGGCCATATCTTCAGAGTCTGGGAACCCCCACCTTTGAAGAAAAGCACGATCTTGTAACACTTCACTTGCACGTTTGAAACTGTGGCGTGCAGTCCCGAAATATTGATCCAGGTCAACAGAAGGTATGTCCAAGGAAGGACCCTGTCTGCGGTACCACTGTGATGTTGTCTCTCCCCAATGTTCAAGACCACACTGCCGACGAAAGACAACTTGTGAATCCCAGGAGTCTCCCGTCCTGAGTCCTCTCACGATAACAGTGAATCAATTATGTGGAACAGTACAGTATGTGGAACCACCGTGTACAGTATGTGGAACCACGTTGTGAAGGAATGCCCCGCCAGATTTCGATTCCCGCGCTTCCGCCTTGATACCGTGTACAGTATGGGGAACAAAAGCCGCCTCTCTGCACGATGCAGCTCGAAACGAGGGGACCCCCAGCGGCGAGGCCAGGCTGGGCAGGAGGTAAGCTCTGCCACAACCTGGTCACCGCCGGGAACCTCGTAGAGCTTATTTCACGCGTAAGAGTGCTCGGAGTCGAAAGAGAGAGCTTCTGGAAGCATTTCTCCAAAGAAAGAAAAATTCACTGGGCGCCGGCGGTAAACCGTCAACCTTGGTTACCGCCGGGAGACTCGTAGAGCTTCCTAGCTCGACTTAAGTTGAGAAAACCGACAGCACCTACCAACATTCCGACTCATAGTGAATAATTTTTGACCTCTGAATGCGACAGGCGGACGCGTCTGATGTCTGCGAATCGACTCCTGTCATTACCAGCCCTGCAGCCCCCCTAGAGCCCGAATTAAGTGCAGAAAACCGACAGCACCTCTCAGGATGACTCGAACAATATAGTAGTTTCGCAGACCTAATTCGGGCAGCAGACCGAGTTCCGAGCTCTGGATTCGACAGGCGGACGCGCTTGATGTCTTCAAATCGATTCCTGTGACCACCAGCACTGTAGCCCCCCTCAGCGCGAGTTGAGTGAAGAAAACAGAGAGCACTTCTCAAGATGACTCGACCAATACAAATAGTTTCGCGATTCTAAATCGGGCAGCAGACCGAGTTCAGAGCTCTGGATTCGACAGACAAACGCAACTGATGATTCTGAATCGTTTTCTGTAAATATCAGCTCTGTAGCTGTCCTACAGCTCGAGTTAAGTACAGAAAACCGAGAGTTCCTGTCAAGATGACTCGAATAATACGAATAGGTTTGCGGACCTAGCTCGGCTAGCAGACCGAGTTCAGACCTCTGGGTTCCACAGGCGAACGCGCCTGATCATTCTGAATCGATTAGCTGTGCTTACCAGCTCTGTAGATGTCCTAAAGCTCGAGTTATGTTCAGAAAACCGTCGCGTATCAAGATGACTCGAAACGGCCGATCCCGCCACAGTGCTTTCCGATAGTAATATTCACCCGATCGAGCTGAGATCAAGATGGCGAGCGGGAATAATATCGAATATCACGGGAAAAAATACTAGAGCACAAACGAATTGTTGAATTTCGAGAACATAATTTTCAACCGAGCAAAAGTCAGCAAACTGGGCGCCGGCGGTAAACCGTCAACCTTTGTTACCGCCGGGGGACTCGTAGAGCTTCCTGACAACATGTAATGTCGAAAAAATACACAGAAAAAATAGTTTTTCGGCCCAAGCAATTTCAGACCTCTCGGATGCAACAGCCGAACGCCCCCCATGCTTCTGGATAATCTTCTCTACGAGCTGTGTAGCTCTTCTACAGCCCGAGTTACCTGCGTAAATCGACAGCACCTCTCAAGATGACTCGAACAATACGAATAGCTTCGCGAACCTAGCTCGAGTATCAGACCGAGTTCAGACCTCTGCATACGCGGCTGATGTCTCTAAATCGATTCCTGTGATTACCAGCCCTGCAGCCCCCCTACAGCCCGAGCTAAGTACAGGAAACCCACAGCACCTCTCAGGATGACTCGAACAATACGAATAGCTTCGCGGACCTAGTTCGGGCAGCAGACAGAGTTCAGAGCTCTGGATTCGACAGGCGGGCGCGCCTGATCTCTCCGATCGATTCCAGTGATTACCAGCCATGCAGCCCCCTACAGCGCGAGTTAAGTGCAGAGAACCGACAGCATCTCTCAAGATGACTCGAATAATACGAATAGTTTCGCGATTCTAGATCGGGCAGCAGACCGAGTTCAGAGCTCTGGATTTAACAGACAACGGCCACTGATGATTCTAAACCATATTCTGTACGCATCAGCTCTGCAGCTGTCCTGTAGCTCGAGTTAAGTACAGGAAACTGAGAGTGTCTGTCAAGATGACTCAAATAATATGAATAGGTTTGCGGACCTAGCTCGGCTAGCAGTCCGAGTTCAGACCTCTGGGTTCAACAGGCGAACGCGCCTGATCATTCTGAATCGATTAGCTGTGCTCACCAGCTCTGTAGCTGTCCTGAAGCTCGAGTTATCTTGAGAAAACCACAGCGCGTGACAAGATGACTCGAAACGGCCGATCCCGCCAGTGTGCTTTTTGGCAGTAAATGGTAGCCGATCGAGCTCAGATCAAGATGGCGAGCGGGAATAAGATCGAGTGTCACGGGAAAAAACACTAGAGCTCACACGAATTGAGGAATTTCGAGAACAAAATTTTCAACCGACAAAAAGTCAGCAAAAGGTCCGTCGAGATTTTTCTTGCCAACTAGCTCTCCAGCGCCCCGGAATTACTCTGAAGCTTCCAGCAATAGCTTGCTAAGGGAAGCTCTACGAGTTAAGTTCCGTCGGTATTTTTCGAGCCAACTAGCCTGCCAGTGCGTCCGAATTACTCTTAAGCTTCCAGCTGCTAGCTTAGGGAAGCTCTACGAGTCGTTTTTTTCGTGTCGACAGGAAGATGGTTCCGCCAAGTGTTTTCATAGTAAGAGTGGCTACAGAGCTCATACTGAGACAGAGGAGGCCACAGGTGCGTGGTGGTGCTGGAGAGCTTGCCTGGCGCTCTCCTGAAGGGCTGTAAACGTGTGTGGTGGCGCTGGCAAGCTTGCCTGGCGCGCTTCCGAGGGGCTGAGAGCGACGCTTCCACGCGTGCCTGCACGCGTGGGACCTCGGTGCCCGGGAGCTTCGCAAGGCCTCTGGAGCACGCTCTACGGGAACGCATTGGAACAGACGCTCCGGAACTTACCCGAGGACCCAAGAGGAACTTGGAGCGGTGGGCGGAAGGGTGCGGCGGCGTACGCGCACCCGCCGGCTTCTTCTCTAACAACCCTACTTAGCGCAAGAGGCTCTCCAGGAATTACTCTCATTAAGCTTCCAGCTGCTAGCTTAGGGAAGCTCTACGAGTCACGTGTCAAGATGACTCGAAACGATCGACGGTTCCAGCAAGTGTTTTGATAGTAATATTGCAGCTACGGACCTGCAAAATTTAACTGGCAGACGTGGCATAACCCACTACAGGAGGGAGCAATACCGGTTCTCAAAACGAATTTCCAAATTTTACGCAAAGATGGAAAATCGACCCCAAGTCATCACATTGTCTCTTGAGATCGGGTCGGCGAACTAGCTCCACCGAACGAATAAGTTTTCAGCAGCGTGTAGGAAATACCAGTAGGGAGAAAATAGCAGAATATAACTGGGAACCGGCGGTAAACCGTCAACCAGGTTTTTTGCGGACTTTGCGGTCGACTGTGCAGGCTTTCCAGCCTAGTCGGAGCAAGGAGCGGACGCATCCAAACAGGCAAGGCGTGAGTGAGCACAAACTCTTATTCACATCAAACCAGTCCGAAATACGCATGCTCAACCCGCCGTATGACAAGAGGCGTATGCTCAAAGTCACATGTGAAGTAATCAACGAATTAGACGGGGAAACAACCCGTGGAAGAACGTCACCTGAAGAATATGAGGGGCCCCTGCCCTTTACACACCTGAAGCGCTTAGTGGGGCCCACAGCGGGCCGCAGAGCCATCATGGCTCCAGCGAGAGGTCAAACAGAAAGATAAAGTGAGGAAAACAAGAACAGGTGAGATACAAGCATTACAACCTTCCCTGTTCTAAACCGAAAGTTGCATACAAGTGCGCACGGATAGCTTCATCCCAACTTGTCGAAACTCCTCGGGCGACCGAAGAATATTATTCGGTAATCGCTACACTTGGAAACCTCAAGAAACTTGGCCATCTCGGCGCGGTTCATTTGTCCTGTCAAGAACCTGTGCACCTCGAAGAATCCTAGAAGATCCTCCAGCGTCGCTTGCACATTCTGGAGCATCTCATACAGTTTCCGAGCATAATCTTTTTGGGCCTTCTTTGTAGGGAACCCACGTTCTGCAACCAGCTTATCAAACAAATCCATTCCGTTCTTTAAATACTGGATCGCATTCAACTCGTTGATGCTGGCAACAGCGTCAATCCACGCTTTGACATCGGCAATGGTGGCCTGAGAGCACGTCGATGTCCCCTTGACCGTGTCACGATCTCTCCCTCGAGTCCTCTGGCGCGACTCCTTCGATACCTCATTGAGCGTGACGGGACGATTCAGGCACCCCTGGGACGCTCCTGACAAGGCGCGGCTATCAGAATCAGACTGCACGTTCGGAGAAGACTCCGCACTCGAGGGTGCCTCCAGCTCCTCCTCCGCCGCCACAGTCAATTTCTCAAGAAGAACTCCTGAAGCTCCTCCCTCCATCCCAACGACACTATCTGTCTGACAGCCGACTTCACAATGAAAGTCCGCAACATCAACCGTCTGCACTCCAACATCAACCAGCGATTCAGAAGCCTGCACTCCAATATCTACATCAACCAGCGATTCAGAAGCCTGCATACGGCAAGAAAGATTCTCCGAAACAGTCTTAATGTCAGCCTCCTCCTCCTCCTCCAAACTGCGTTTAACAACGGGTGGATCGCGCAACGAGAGATAATCTAGAACCAAATCGGCAGTCGCCCGCTCCAGCCCTGGTGGTGGGAGACACGTGGGTGGCACCAAACCATCCAGAGGCAAACGAATAGGTAAATGCACGCAGTATCCGTTTTGAACAGCCAGCGCCCGACGCATAATGCGAGCACTTGCACTCCGTACGTGTGGCATAACGAAAGATTGCAGAGACTGCCTCGGAAGCACCCAGCAAAACAAATCAATTGAAGACAACTCAAGGCGATCAAACGTGTCAAATGAATGGCAGCGCAATATCACTCTAGGCGACAAACGTGTGAAACAAATCAATTGAAGACCACTCAAGGCGATCAAACGTGTCAAATGAATGGCAGTGCAATATCACTCAAGGCGACAAAAGCGTGACTCCCTGACGCGCACTCGATCCCACTGGAGGTCACCCAGGCAGAGGGGATCAAATGTCAAGCGCCTTGAGCCGAGATGTTCTTGAGCCGGGACCCTCGTAGAGCTCTTTTCTCCCTCCGCGCTTCTCGGAATACATGAAGAGAGCTTCTGGAGCGAAAGCGGGAAAATCGAAAAGTAACGTTTTTGTGTTTTTTCCAACGTCGGTTCCTCCAAGTGTTTTGATAGTAATACTGCACCTACGGAGCTGAGCTGCTCGCAGGAAAAAGTTTACATACTAATGCTCGGAGTAAAAATCTGCTTTCTCAAAATGAATTGTCAAATATCTTTCAATTTTTCGCAAAACCACCCACAAGTTACCACTTTGTCCTTTCTGGCCGGGTCGACCAACTAGCTCCACCCCGCGCCGGAATTCCTCTAGCTCATCGATGCCGAAGAGCTCTACGAGGTACAGAATAGCAATTCGTGTTTGGCGTCTGCGCGACCAAAATCAAGCGTCTAGATGCTTCGCGCCTCACGATGTCCTTCTGATTTTTCGGCCGAAGAGCTCTCGAGGAGCTGCTCTGCAGCTCGAGTTCAGTGGAGAACTGGGCGCCGGCGGTAAACCGTCAACCTTGGTTTTTTGCGTCTTTGCTGGGACCGTCTTGGCCACTAAGGCCAGGTCCAACAAAGTATCAGGCGAAACAGAGCCTCTTATTTATCACGCAAGCAGTCAGCTCTTATACCACACAGCGAAGCTGAAGGAATAAAGAGAATCACATGCCGCAATGACACAATCAAACGCAAAGCACACAAAGACAAACGAATGAGTCAGTGAACAGCGAAGCTGTTGGAATAAACAAGAACACAGATAAAGAAGAAACAATGTGTGGCATATCACTGCGAATGATCAAAGAAGGTCTGCACTACCTGTGGGAGCACATCGCATATGCGCTCCGCCGCTGATAGTTCCGTATCTGCAACAGTGGCGCTTGGTGGCAGACACCAAGCCGCGAGATACACATCCTTGAAAATGATGTCGGTCCGCGAGAAGATATATTTGTTTCGCAGACCAATCTGTATCCACACACCACAGGCACTTCCGCGGCTACAAACGCCCCCATCAAAGTTGGCTTTGATAAGGCAAGGAGTATAACACTGAGATTCAAAATCGCTGAGGTAAACGAAATCGGCGTACACGTGGCCCTGACGGGCCTGATGGGTCAGTAAGTCAGCTCTCTGGTTCCATTCCCGAAAAGAATGAGAGAAGAAGTCACGGCCAGCCTCTGGAGGCCTCACCGAGTATGTTTCCTGCATATCGTCCAACTTATTAATCAGAGTATCCACCCTTTTCTGATATGCCTGAGCTAATACTTTCCATTTCCCGCAGAGCCAGTTAATTACAAGCAGTGAGTCCCCCTGGATATCCAGTGGTATCCCATCCGTATCGAGGCCCCACTGTGTACAACGCATGTTATGCAACGCAATACGTTTGCTGAGACGATCCCTATATGCTGGTGTATCCTCCCGATCCTGACCAATATGAACCCCTCCATCCTCATCCAAGTTCAAGAACACAGGCACCCCTGAGGACGCCAAACCTTTGCACTTCTTTTGGAAATACTTCAACATAGTACTGGAACAAACATGCGCAGCGAAATCCATGAAATGTTCAAAACTTCCAGCAAAGAACTCCCACCAGGATAAACCATAAAACGATTCCAATGAATAGTACCACGGACGAAGTCCTACACTCTCCTGTCCCCCCCGATGTCGTTTCATTGAGCTGGCCTCCTTCCAATTCCCCCAACATCTGAGAGCCTCGCTTGAATCTGTCCTCATTCGATCCCACAGCCGGCCAAACGCCAGGCACGAGAAACGAGAATCTCTCCAAGCTCTCGTCGAGTTTGCCTCCAGCGCCTCCCGATCTGTGATCAACCTATGGGCAAAATCATGAATGTCGATTGCCCACAGCCAGTGCACTCTGAGAAACTTCTGCACAATACCCGCATAGTGTGCATCATGAATTGTTTGTCTCGCACGTTCATACCTCCTCGTATTCCATTCCTGATAACTTTCCCCTTCCCTCCGTATACAACGAGACATTACAGCCAGGCGCTTACCCTCAAAGATATGAAGGGCACTCAATGAACTAGAATCGACCGAACATCCTTCCGCCGCGTAGAGCACAATACTCTGAACCCTCTGTGCATACCTCTCATATTTATCTTTCAACGGGATGGCCGCGGAGCGGAAGAAGGTCGCCTGCCCCCAGAAAGCCCTGCGAGCAGAGTCAATACTAGCGTCCAAATCTGGATGTTCATTCACATGTAGTTCAGAACAAATATGAGCCCCAAGCACCTCCATCTCCGTCGCCCTTCTAAATCGATACACTCCCGACTCCTCCGACCCCATCGAGAGAACAAGATCAGCAGTGCGTAGTATTTCCCCTTCCGCATCTCGCGGAGGATCAACCCCGAACACCATGTACAATAGGCTGGACTCTTTCCATTTCATGACATAGTCATGTAACTGTGTAGTTAGACCTTATAACATGCGCGTGAGTTCCTCCCGACTCCGAGCCAGTACATAACAGCTGTCCGCCCAAAGGAAGTGATTAATAATCGAAACACAGCTAGTCGAGCCAGTCGCAAACTCAATACGATAACCTAGTCCTAGTACGTCCCATTCTCGAATCGTGGAGCCCCACATAGCAGCAACAATAAGGTTGAAAGCCAACGGGCCCTCAGGCCCTCCCGTCCGAATACATTTGTCCCACCTTACCTCCACCACCTCAATCCCATCATAATAGACAGTGCCTACACATTCGCACAAGGGGTTAAGTAGAGCATACTGTAGGTATAGGGGTACACTCGCATGATCCAACCCGCGCCTGACATTGGCCACCGTGCAGTGATCGAACGCCTGGAGGACATCAGCGTTCGCCAAGTGTGCCGTTTCCCCTTTTCCCCATTGTGCAGCATGTTGACCTATGTGTTTGATGCTAGCCGTGATTTCGTGTGTACGACGATGTTCCTGGAAACCATGCAACCCTATATGACGAAACACTCCGTTTCTTTCAATATGGCCCTCAACCAGGAGAACAATACAGGAACTGAACCATCTCGAAACAGCATTCTGCATACACAGCAAACGACCGTCGTTTAACTTAGTAATCCCTGGAGTTTTTGGCATAAAAGAGACGAGAATCTCACGCCACGACTGAGGATACGGAATCGTGAGCTTGATGATTTTTTATCGAACAACTTCTGGATCGCTCTGAGAGCACACCACGGCAAGCTCCTTAGAATCTCGCACGGTATCCCGTCTGGCCCAGTAGCCCTCTGGGTCTTCAGCCGAGCACGTGCTCTGAGAAGCAGCGCCATACTAATTCCCACAACTGATGTGGATCGTACTTCATGTACAGCCCTCATCCTGATCTCCTCCATCATACTGTTGGTGGAATTGCGTATCTCTTCGGACGACACCTTGAAACGAACGAACTTGTCGAGCTCCTCCTTCCACTCCTCACGGTCCTCCGTCTCCCTCCCATCCACCACTAAATGTTTGATAGTATATCTGACCTTACGCTTTGTTGGGGGGCATCTGCACATAATCATATCACGTCGATAACCTCTGCGTAGACGATTAGCCTCATTCTTTAACCTCCTCAACCTCTCCACATCCTCCTTCGGGCACATCTTAACCTCCTCCTCGGCTCTTGTGAGCTGCACCGGCCTGGACGGCTCTCTCGGTCTTCTCGCACCCGTGGTGGAGTAGTCCACCGTCGGTGATAAGTACGCCTCCAGCATAGTACTCTGCAGACACTGTGGACAGGTCACAGACGGACACCTTGAACGAGCGAAGGCAGCACCGCCTAGATACGAATCCACATGCTGTCGAGCCTGATGCTCATCAGCCCAAGTCGAACACTTGTATCCGACCAGAGACGGCCTAGACTTCTGACCAGGCTGGGGGTCAGAGCGACGAACAATCACATTCCCAGGGTCAGTGAAACTCGCCGTGATGATTGCGTGATCGGATAATCTACTGAACTGCTTCTCCCCACCCCTCTTGAAACACCACTTCACCTCCAGATCCGAGAACTCCCAACGGTGAGGGACCAGTAGGTAATCCAGGACCCTCTTCGAAGTCAGAAACTTGTTCTCCCCCCACGACTCCCAGGTATGTCTCCTAGTACTGAAAGTGTTGGCGGCCTTCAGTCCATGTGATTCCATGAACTCTAAGAGCAGCTCCTTCAGCCTCCTCCTCCGACTCCTCCTCTCAATCTGCTGTGTACCGTCTCCTCCTCTCTCCCACCTTCTGTCCGTACGAGTACCTTCCTCTCCAGTAGCCTCATACTCCTCCCCATTATACGTAAACTTGCATCCAGGCGGAATCTCCACATTTGCATCGAGCAGAACACAAAAGCTGGCCTGAGGAAACTTAGTGCGGAGAACATTACGAGCACGACTGATCTGCTCATAGGCCTCCGCAGCTATCTCTACACAATCCTCCACATGAGGGTCTGGCAAATACGCTGACACAATAATAAGTGGTGACTTCTCTGACCCAAAGACGCCGCTAACGAACCTCGTGAAACAAGTAAAGAACATGCGGACGGCAGCCGCCAAAGATCTGTCGAAGATGAGAGCTGCCTTGCTACACGAACTAGTTTTGATGCGCCACCCCAAGCGTTCAAATTCACCATGCACAAGGTATTGAGTTTCCTGACATGCAAAGAGCCCACCACATGCCCTCATATGATGAAGAATCTCAGCACATTTAAAATGAGCCTCACCTGCTTTGTTCAGGTTCCAGCTCGCCAAACGTATGCCCCGGACGAGGCGCCGCAAACGTCACTGCCTACGATTCACTTCCTGAAGTATATCATTCATGGGGACCGTCAGCGCAGGATAAATAGAAACAATACGAGCCCATGCATCAACATGAAGAACCCAGGCCCCTGTGGCGTTCGTATACGTCGCAAAACAGACGGGTCGGAGATTCGGAACAGCTTGAGTCCAAATCTGACTCCTCGGTGGCCCCACCTCCCCACGGATCTCGATTTGAACATGAGCCGAGGTTATACTTCGCCAAGTCCCACAGAAACGAGCAACCGCTTTCACATGATCACGCTTCCAGGGTGCACACTCCACTAACGTACGAATCTTTCTGGGATCGATTGGCGTGTCCATATCTTGAATGAGAACATCGGCATTTGGATATGTATAACCTGGGGGCGGGGCAATACGATCGGCTGGTTCCTTACAGACCATATCCATCCATTTCTTTATTATCCAAAGAGTGTCCCGTGGTGTCCCTTCTTTGAAACCGACCTTCACACTTCCGTACATATATCTTCCTCCGTTTAATCGTTCAGTTTTATCTTTGTCGTAAGCATTCCTTTCCTCCCTCTGAAGTGTTCCAATCATATTCGATATTAGCTGTGACGCATCCGCCCAGGGTATCATGTGATTTCCCCGATTTACTTGATTCGACCAATCTGTGACCCACCCTTTAAGTTCGAGATAAGTTGGTGTGAACTGGCTCGATCGCCCTTGTTGCACGTGAGGGATCGAACCTACACCTCCACCAGAGGAGCCACCAGGGCCCACACTAGTCGAAACCGTAGCTGCAGGAGATCCAGCCAAAATTTGATTAACCTGTTTCTCCAGAATATCTGTCCGTGCATCTGATTTGTCCATTCGCTCCGTATGCAACTTGAGTGCGTCATCAACTCTTTTGATGTCAGTCTCCGTCGATTGAACAACATGGATGAGATCCTCATGGGCATCCTCCGTTTTCCAAACATGCTTCATCATCATCTGTTTGAATGGATCCTTCTCCTGCGCTAACATCACTTTCCTCTCCTCCTCAATCTCTGGGCCACGTGCACGTTTAGATCGAATCTCACCATCCCCCGTCATCGCGGCATCCGCCGCTGCAGCAACATGAGTCATATTCTCAAGAATATTACCGTTCAATCCGTATTTATCTAACCAGCTCTTATCGTCCTCACGTTGACGTTTGTTTGATGCTGCCTCCAGTGCCTGCAAGTCTTTCTGATCCCACGGCTGGTATTCCTCAAGGTAATCGAAGTTGACCCTATCGTCCTGGTAATCTTCTGTGGGTATGTCCAGATTCCTTTGACGACGAAACCACTCCTCAGTACTTTCACCCCAATGCTCGAGTCCGATCTCTCTCCTCAAGGCCAGCTGAGCCTCAGGACTGTCGCACGACGTTATGTCAACAACGATCCAGCACACAAGGAACTTCCACTCGTTCAATAAGAGATAATATATGCAGACAGACAATAGACAGCAGTGCAGCACACCAGAAAGTCTCTCAATACCACGAAGAAGAATTCAGCGTACAATACACGAGATGTAGTGTAAGCAGACAAAAACCTCGAGGGAACCCAGGCTGGCCAGGCTCACACCCCGAGGCGAAGGCTCGCTAGAACGTCTGGAGGTTACCCAGGCAGAGACGTTCTTGAGCCGGGGGACTCGTAGAGCTTCCTTGCTTTTACTGTAGCCCTCCCCCAGCCCGAGTCGAGTGCAGAAAACCGAGAGCACTTCTCAAGACGACTCGAACAATACGAATAGTTTCGCGATTCTACATCGGGCAGCAGACCGAGCTCAGAGCTCTGGATTCAACAGACAAACGATACTGATGATTATGAATCGGTTTCTGTAAGTATCAGCTCTGTAGCTGTCCTATAGCTCGAGTTAACTACAGAAAACCGAGAGCGTCTATCAAGATGACTCGAATAATACGAATAGGTTTGCTAGTTCGGCTAGCAGACCGAGTTCAGACCTCTGGATTCAACAGGCGAAAGCGTCTGATCATTCTGAATCGATTAGCTGTGCTTACCAGGCTCTGTAGCTGTCCTGAAGCTCGAGTTATGTTCAGGAAACCGTCATCGCGTGTCAAGATGACTCGAAACGGCCGATCCCGCCACAGTGTTTTTTGGCAGTACACCCGATCGAGCTGAGATCAAGATGGCGAGCGGGAATAAGATCGAATATCACGGGAAAAAATATTAGAGCTCAAACGAATGTTCAAATTTCGAGAACAAAATGTTCAACCGACCAAAAGTCAGCAAAAGTTCCGTCGAGATTTTTCTTGCCAACTACCTCTCCAGCGCGCCGGAATTACTCTTAAGCTTCCAGCAACTAGCTTAGGGAAGCTCTACGAGTCACTGGGCGCCGGCGGTAAACCGTCAACCTTTGTTACCACCGGGGGACTCGTAGAGCTTCCTGAGAGTATATAATGTGGAAAAAATTCCAAATAATTTCGGCTCAAGCCAGACCTCTCAAGATGACTCTGGCAAAAAAAAAAAAAAAAAAAAAAAAAAAAAAAAAAAAAAAAAAAAAAAAAAAAAAAAAAAAAAAAAACACGAACAGTTTGGAACCCAGCTCGAGTGTAAAACCGAGTTCAGACCTCTGAATGCAACAGGCGGACGCGTCTGATGTCTGTGAATCGACTCCTCTGATTACCAGCCCTGCAGCCCCCCTACAGCCCGAGTTAAGCGCAGAAACCGACAGTAGTTCTCAGAATGACTTGAATAATACAATATTTTCGCGGAGCTAGTTGCAGCAGACCGAGTTCCGAGCTCTCGGTTCGACAGACGGACGCGCCTGATGTCTCCAAATCGATTTATGTGACCAGCAGCACTGTAGCCCTCCCCCAGCACGAGTTAAGTGCAGAAAACCGAGAGCACTTCTCAAGATGACTCGAACAATAC